TTACTGAAAAAGAGCAAGACCCTGCATGAGATGAATTGACACAGTGATTACAATAATGGACTCAAACATAGCAATTATTGTGAGGATGGTACAGGATCAGGCAGTGTCTTCATTCTGTTATACATAAGGTCAGTTTGAGTTGGAGCCAACTCTAGGGCATCAACAATAACAACAACAATGGTAGCTTTTACCCACTAAGTTGACCAAGGTTCCATTGGTTTAGGGAAGGCACCCTGTGTTTGGAAGCAGTCACACCTGAATCCCATATGTGTATGTGGCTTAATCTCCCTGAGCTTCTGTTTCCTCATTTATAAAATTGGAATATTACTAATACTTACCATATAGGATTCTTGTGAAGTTCAAATGAGTTAATATAAAGCACAGTGCTTTATCAACTGTCATGGATTGAATTGTGCCCTCCAAAAATATGTGTATCAATTTGACTAGGCCATGATTCCCAGTATTCTGTGATTGTCCACCATTTTCTCATCTGATGTGATTTTCCTATGTGTTGTAAATGTTGTCTCTATGATGTTAATGAGGTGGCATAGGCAGCAGTTATGTTAATGAGGCAGGACTCCATCTACAAGATTGGATTTTGTCTTCAGCCAATTTTCTTTTGGGATATAAAAGACAGAAGCAAGCAGAGAGAAAGGAGGACCTCATACCACGAAGAAAGCAGCACTGGTAGAAGAACCCAGGGTTCCTGCACTGAGAAGCTCCTAGTCCAGGTGAAGATTGATGAGAAAGACCTTCCTTCAGAGCTGACAGAGACAGAAAGCTTTCCCCTGGCGTTGATGTCCTGAATTTGGACTTCTAGCCTACTAAATTGTGCGAAAATAAATTTGTCTTTGTTAAAGCCATCCACTTGTGGTATTTCTGTTACAGCAGCACTAGATGACTAAGACATCAACTACTCAACTTTCTATCATTAATAATTAACATTAGTATACTGTGAAGGATGTGAATGATCTTGGTTAACTACTAATCTGACACAGTGGTAAAGTATGTGATTTTACATACTTGTGTTTTTAAAAATGTTTTATACGTGAGGAATCTTATTTTCATGCTGCCTTCCCAGGTGTTCAAGTGGCATTAGAAA